TCAAAGTACGTCTGTGCATAACTTCGATGAGGCCGAAACAATGGTGTCATCAACCGGTTAACCGTAGCGGAGCATTCGATAGCCCTGGGGCATCACCAATCACTCCTAGAGCATACTAATCGGAGTACAAACAGCAGCGAGCGGAATATCGCTAGCTTGCATAAGCAATTGGTAATAACCATTGACTAAGTCGAGCGAACTGTACATGGTACAACCGACCATATTGTTCTGAAGAACATCCTTTCTAGGTATTGGCGTCTGTGCAGGTATAGTGGCTGCATTGAGCTTAGTATAAGCATGAATGATACGCCAATTGCCATTCGGTTTCTTGACACAAGAAGTGGGTGTAGAGTGCAGAGCTTGCTCTCGCGCACCATGCCCACCGCGTGCTTTGCACGAAAGAACTCGTCAATGACATCACACTATTTTTTGGGTAAAGGCCACTGTCGTGTTACACAGTATTTGGTTCCGGGAACCAAGTCAATTTCATGACATACACCCCCATCAGGAGGTAAAACAGACGGTAGATCGTAGCACACCACGTCCTGAAGTTCCTTGACTAAAGGGTAGTAGTAATCCAAAATATTTATAAGATAGTAGCTCCACCACGTACACTAAGTGCCGCCTTTGTATCTTCAAGGACTGCCTCATCCACGAGCGAGGATGAGTTCAACTCGAGGTCAGGTCGAATGACCACCATACTGGATAGATCACCTACCTTCAAGGCTGGATGAAATCAACCACGGCTCCTCCCATCATTACATGATGGGAGGATCATTAGGTCGACCTCACCATCTACACCACCTTTCACTCCGTTGACCAGGGTGTACAGCTGTTCACTGGCATCACTACGTGATAAAACATACGCCTTGCGTCTCGCAGCCGCCATCTAGCAACGCTGCCGTATCATTGACGAAATGTACCTTTTGAAGTACTCGGGATGTCATCATTCCCAAGGTCGATAGATTCCTTGACCTTAAACTGATCTATACGAGAGCCGATGTCATACTGACATCCAGAGAGTCGCTATCACAGGTGACACCACTAACAAGTTCATAGATCTTTACTTACTCTTTACAAGAGCCGATGTCATTACCGATATCCAGTGTCTCAATATTACTATGAGTATCACTCAACGGAGTACGTGCCGTTCCACTAAGTGCCACTGATCTCTGCTCGACACTATTATTGCTAACGTTGGAGTTTATCAACTCAGACACTCCAATGTCCAGCACACTAACTGAATCAGTTAATGGATCGCGCCGATAGCGCTTCTGTTTCTTAGCGAAGGTGGGTTCATGACTCTCCTAAGCTTCGCTAGAAACATTGCGCGTATGGCGAAGTCGATCAAGAAAAGTTTGATCAACGATATCGAAAGTGATTATAATGTGGACCACTTACACGGCGGGAATCGTATTCTATGGATTATACTTGGCTATTGTATTGGAGCGATCAAGATTTATCGATGAATGATCGCATAGTTTATACTTGGCTATTGTATTGGAATGACAGTTTATCTGGATCGATCATGTGATGGCCACGGTTGGCCGAGGATTACGCGGCTGTGATGACGATCAGGGTGGGAGATCGCTCGATCGCAATCTTACTATGCGATCCACATGTTCGTGATGGACATGGGATCACCGATCGTGATCAACAAGTGTGATCGACGATCGTGATCAACAAGTGTGATCGTCGATCGTGTTTAACAACCGTGATCGACGATCGTGATCAACAAGTGTGATCGTCGATCGTGATCGTCGATCCAAGAAAGCCGGTCGCGAGATGTAACCAGTTACAGATCGATCGTAACCTTGATCCAGAAAGCCGATCGCGAGATGTAACCAGTTACAGATCGATCATAACCTCGATCGACGGATCAAGATCATCCGAAGTGGACCACATACCGAGGTCTGATTTTCCTGAAAAGACGACACGCGGCAGTAGGTACTGTCATACAGATAGGCATAATCGTAGAATTTGGTATTTCATTGGTTAACATTAAACAGAGTTTCTTTTACTTCTAAGCACGCACGCAGACTTCTCTTTCGGGCGGATAACTTTGGCCCCCGACGATCAAGTAGTGATATCCCTGGATTGTTTGGCCAAGGATTACAAGAACTCTCAACCCAAGCAAACAACCCCTGCGATCAGACGCAGTATACAACGTAAAGGACAAGGCACAAGATCGAGACGGCTCAAGTGGTCAGAAGATCAAGTGAAATCAAGTGGATCAAGTATCTACATTTGGATAAGGCAGTCTCAAGGCAGACCAGGGTGACTCATAGAGCACCATCCATACAACTTTCGATCGCGTGAGGATTTTCCACGTGATCGACCCCCCGACCAATCCCCAACCACGATCAAGCTCAGCATCGACTCAAGTCCACCGAGAAGAGTGCATCCCGCCCTACCGACGGGTACACAAGGTGAGGAAGTAAAGTGACACGGATACGGAGTACCCCCTCCGTTAGTCGGTCGTCTGGGCGCCAGTGAAGAGTCGGGATCGCATCAGAAATTTTGTGATTGCCACTCCACCACACGCGTGGCGCCTAAGGTTTTAGATCTCCTATCGATCCAGGGCTAATGGCGTTCCAGCCAGGCCATACCGAGAATGAGATTATATCTCGAGTCCAAATCTAGGACAAGACAGCGTTCAACGCTATTGAAGTCTAAGAACTTCACACCTAAGTTCAACGGAGCTTTAGGAACGATGACACGTACACCTGTCGCGAGACGCACGGTTATACTGTCACCCTACTACGCTTCTAGCGCCTCAGCATACATCTGACTCCCTCTAAGAGAACGACGTCAACATAATTATCCGACGCCCCTGAGTCAATTAGAATTGACCATATTTTATCAAAATTCTTAATGGTTGCCGACACAACCAACAAGCCTGGCTTGTAATCGTGTTCCATGGAAGCATCCACAGAACCACCTGGGGATGAGCCCTGATTACCTTTACCTCCTAGAAATTCAACAGAGCTTATTTCTTTTCCAGTAGGGCGCCCCGCGCCTACTGTAGGCTGACGTTTTCCCCTGCCGTGCTCCCCTTTTGGCTAGGAGCAAAGAAACGACTCTGCCTATTCTGACGTTGCTTTCGCAACGAACAGAGAGGACGGAGGTGCCTAGTGCTTCCGCACATGTAACATCTCCGGATGTTACCTTGCTGTTCTGCAGCTTGAAGCTCAGCTTCTTCCCCTTCAACATGGCTATGATCCGTGGGTTACGCCCTATCAGAGGCATTTAAATTATACCACGGCACACCATAGCGCGCAGATTTGAAATTAAATTTAGCGTTTAACGCTATGCTCACTTTCTCTTCGAAAGTCGAAGGCTGGACACGGAAAACCTCTTTCCTGGCGACCCCAGTACGAAGTCCTTCCATAAAAAGGGTTGCTCGGACTTCTTCTGCCAGAGGGTCCTGCTGCATAGCAGCAATGAGATTTCTCAACTCTTGGACATAGCCCGACAATACTTTCTTACCCTGTCGGGTAGCTAAGAAGCGTGAGCGCACACGATAAGCCTGATATGCGGTGCAAACACGCAGGTTAATTCCTTTTTAAGCATCTCCCATGTGGGTAATGCGGCATTTACGGAGATATCGCTCGTTAGAGCCCACTCTCTACTCTACCACCGAGCTTCGAATTGGCCAAGCCAACTCGTTGCTTATCTGAAACAACATAGCGACATCCATTGCCATTTCAACTTCTCGGATCCACAGGAGAAGATTTTCTCCCTCCTTCCCCTCAAAGTTTTAACGTTTAACACGAGTGGACGATATTTTGGTTTTGCATTGGCCCAGGTACCGGAATGTATTGCGTTAGCGCAGCTGACGCTGCCTGGTCGTGGACATGCCCGAGTAGCGTTGCATTATAACGCATGAAGACCTCAAGGCGAGCATTGAGGACCTCCGGGCCTTGGGCCAAAAGGGCCTCGATTTGATCGGGCCCAACGAACGCATATAATTTATCTAGCGTTAGTCGTTGCGCCTCAGAGAGGTGATATTGACTCTCCATCCTTACAGCGGGTCAGTCTTTTAGACTCAGGTGTAGAGTGCTACCAAGTGTAGCGGAGCTGCACAGCTCTTTAGACGGAATAAGACTTTAGTCTGTAAGCCTCTTAGTCCTAGAGAACTAAATAGAGTTAAGGCTAAAAGCCACTTAGTTCTAAGTAACTAATTAAAAGACTGAAAGTCACTCTGTTCTAAGGAACTAGGTAGAGACTTTTAGTCTGCAAGCAATACGTTCAAGGTTCAGAGAACCAACGCACAGAGTGCAAGAACAAGCTGAAAGCTTAAAGTTTCAGAGAACCAACGCACGAAGTGCACAAGAGAATAAGTCAAAACGATTTGCGATCTTAAACTCAAAAGGAGAACTGATTTTATCTATGCATTAAGATTTTAGGAATAGTCCTACTCTAGGTACCCTCCACTAGATTAATTACTATAATAGCAAGTAAAATATGCAGACTTTGCTATTGGACGACGTATCGTCAAAACATCTTTGTATGATGTACTTAGTACAGTGTTATCGATTATCGAATCCTAATCGAATCCTAATCGACAGGATGAAAACCGTATCTTAAACGCTCATACTTAATACATCTCTAAAGAGAAGTATCAAAATGCATTGTATGCAATAAAGGGAAACTTCAAGCGTAAATTTTAAAAAAATGATGTTACAACCGTCGTGTAACCCCGTTACAGGAACTCTCTCTCCGCATTTGACTTGGCCGTTGGTAATTCTGAACAATCTTCTCGTCTCTTTCCAGGTTTCTGCTTCAGCTAAGCTGAAACCGAAAATATCTTTGGTTAAAACACCGACAGGGCTTTTCAAGGATCCTCACGTTTTTAGGCCACGCATCGTGGTTTCTGGGGGAAGCTTTTCTAATCCGATTTCCGAGATCTCTCAGTGGAACCTCTCCTATTTGACCTTACCAAACCCAAGTCAATTTTGAACCACAGCGTCCGGAAGCTGACATTGTCCCACTCTGCCATGCATGATGCCCCTTTGACTGCCAATGACTGCTGCTACGCCATCAAACACACTGCTCGTGGGAAATCGCCGGGTCCCGATGGCTTGCCGGCTGAGTATTACGACCTCTTTCCCAGCCAGTGGGCTTTGGTAATGGAACTTGTTTATGCTTCCCAATACCGGAAGGGATGTATGTCGAAGTTTTAACGCCGTACCTACCTCTCGCTTTTGTTTAATAAAGATTATCGATCAGATTTCAAAAGTTATCGTCCGTTAGCTTTACTAAACCAAGACGCCAAGCTTGGACCCAAGGCTTTAGATTATCTCCTCAATCATGTTTACCTTACCTACTCGGTGTAAACCAATTTCTTTTTGTGCCTGGGCGGGATAATCGCCACGCTCTTCGATACTTCTTAGAATTACAGGATCTCTGCAAACGTACACCCTCTCGTGATCCTGCCGATGCCATTAGCCTTGATTTTGCTAAGGCATTTAACAGTGTTAAGTGTTAGGCACTTGACAAAGTTCTCATACATTGGGGTTTTGGGGCGAATATTCGGCATTGGGTTTACACCTTTTTCAAGGAAACCCTGGTGCAAGTTTTAATTAAAAAATCTCGGTCGGACTTCTTTAGTTTGGGAGCTGGGGTTCGGCAAGGTGATCCTATTTCTCCTGGTATTTTTGTGCTCTTCATAGAACCGCTATTGTGCGATCTTCGCTCAGTTAATGACGATTTTGCTATTAAATTTTGGGAGATGTCACACCATCTGCTTAGTTTTGCTGATGATGTCACTGGCTTGGTCGACATTTTTTACCAAACTCCGGCTTTTCCCGCTCGTGTCCACGATTTCTGCGCCACTACGGTCATGCGGCTTAATGTTGCCAAGACGGTAATCATTCCATTTTGCTCCTGGACTGCTGCTGACGACCAACTTCGTTTACGCCTTTCGACGTGTGGCGTACGAATGTTAAACAACTCCGAACATACTACACTTCTAAGTCTCACGGGCGTCCCGACTTGTATCCCCTCTTCTCAACTCCACCACCTGCTTGTACGTTTCCAAAAACTTTGTGTTGTTTGGAGCTGGCCGGCACGGACTTTACGCGGCCGCGTTTTGCTGTTAAAAACTATGGTACTTTCGATACTATGGTATTTTCCGGGTACTCAAGCTGTGTCACGTCTGGACTTACTTAAATTTTACCCCTTAATCCGGAACTTATAAACAACACTCCGTCGTATCACGTCGAAGGTGTGGTGAAGCGAAGGAGTGAATTTGGCGAAGTGTGATCGCATATTTTCGGTTAAGTCCGAAATGGCCAATATTGATGAATCGCGATCTCGTAGAAAAGTTTCAAGATGATGTCAAATGGGATGGAAAACAGTGAATGGTGGAGTTTGCAGTTCTATGTGGGTTAAATATGGCCTAGAACTATGCAATTGCGATCTCCAGTTTTTTTCGATGGCGATCCGCGTGAGCGTGATCGCTAAGAAGGAGGATTGGTACATCCAAGTATGTGAAAGACGGTCTGGTGTGGATCACGTTGCTATGAAATACTGGAATGAGCTGGACATGACGCGTCATATAGATGGACCATCTCACATGACCCGAGAAACGGTGAAGAGGACAAGTCGTGATCCGGCGGATCGGTATCCGATACTATTTATTAGTACCGCGATCTGGTACTAATTATTTAGTACCGCGATCCGATACTAATTATTTAGTACCGCGATCCGATACTAATTATTAGTACCGCGATCCGATACTAATTATTAGTACCGCGATCCGATACTAATTATTAGTACCGCGATCCGATACTAATTATTAGTATTGCGATCCGATACTAATTATTAGTACCGCGATCCGATACTAAAATGGTATTAGACCCAAGCGAGGTAGCGATCCAGATCGCGGCGATATTGGAGTGGACCACATTACAAGATCTGATTTTTCCGAAAGGGCGATACGTGGCAATAGATCCTGAGCTACAGATAGTCAAGATCATAGGTTTTGGCATTTGATTGGTTAACATTAACAGAGTTCGATTTTACTTCTAAGACACGCAAGCTTCTCTTCCGGGTGGGATAACTTTGGCCCCCCGACGACTCAAGAGCATCTGCTACGCCTAGACACAAGTGATATCCCTGGATTGTTTGGCCAGGGATTACAAGAATTCTCAAAACAAACAACTCCCCCTGCGATTGGACGCAGCACAACAAGAAAAGGACAAGGTACAAGATCGCGAGACGGCTCAAGTGGTCAGAAGATCAAGTATATCAAGTATATCAAGTGGATCAAGTATCTACATTTTTGGACAAGGCGATCTCAAGAGAGATCAGGGTTACTTGGATAGAGCACCTACAAGAACCCCTCGACCGCGTGAAGATTTCCGCACGGTCGACCCCCAACCTATCCCAAACACGGTTAAGTTCAGCATCGACTTAAGTCTACCGAGAAGAGTGCTACCCGCCCTACCAACGGGTACAAAAGGTGAGGAAGGAAAGTTGCACGAAAACGGAGTACTCCCTCCTATAGTCGGTTGTCTGGGCGTCAGTGGAGAGTCGGGATCACATCAGACAATTTGTGAACCCCGCTCCACCACAATGGTGCCCGGATCTTCTGGTGACTCGGGATTTCGCCGTGAGTCCCTTAAAGAAGATGCAAAGGTCAAAACTGAACCTGGTATTGAAGCGTCAGAGGCTGAGGGATCGACACAGACGCGTGAAGAAAAAGTGTCCCCAGATCATCAGCATTTTGGAAGGGGCGCAGATGAAAAGAAAACCAAAGAGGAAGATCAAGAAATTGATCTAGAAGGAAATCCTCTATCCCCTCCCCAGGTCCTTTCGAGGACCCCTGCGGATCGCGTTTCAAAACGCGATCCGCTGGATAAAAATCCTACGGTTAAAACCGAAGGAAATTTATCCAAAACCACTCCGAAATCGAAGAAGAAGAAGAATTCGAAGCCATCTCGAGTGAAGATGAAGGCGCCTGAATCGGATCATGATGATACCGACATGAATCTGGCGCATGAGGAAGACAAGGCGAAAGGATGGCAACTGGATCATCTGGAATGGTGTTTTCATTGGAAGGCGCTTAAAAGATCTGTTGTCAAGCGACCCGTTCTAAAGATTTTTGAAACTGAAGTTAATTGGATCGCTGCGAGGACCAAGTTCAGCTCCCATTCCGACACCGAACCAGTTGGAAGCGATCCGTCGGCTTATGGAGTTTCTCCAGAACGCTGGATTCACCGCTGGAGCTTTTGACGCGCAGGTGCTGTTGGAATGCGATCATGATCGTGTGATCCAAGCAGAGCGATCTTTTTTCGAAGCTAGTTCCTCTAACTGGAGAGCGCGATCCGGTAAATCAGACGATCCAGCCGATTGCAGATATACCAAAAGGATATCATACTGGATCGTCGCAGTATATGTCAGCGGAATTCGAAGGGGCGTCGGACGACTCGATTGATATGCAGAAAATGTCACTTGGACCGGCTGGTGCAGCGCATATCCGCGAACGACTGGCATTGATTCAGGCCGGAGGACAATCGACGACGGCACTCACAGTTGAAGATATGAATGTGGCTGGATCAGGTCAATTGTAATCCTATTTTGAAGCTGCTATGAGAAAGTACGAGCAGGATCAAGCTCGCATGATCGCCAGTCGATCCGCGATCCCCACAAACACCTCAAAAGTTTGCATTTCGGATGTGGATATGGAATCGGCCGGATCGCGTCAATCGCGATCCAATAATTACGATCCAGACGATTTGGGGTTGGAGGATCTAAGACGGTCACAAGTCGCAAGTGCAGGCGCTGTACCTAATGGTGGACTTGTCACGCAGCGGATTCGAACGTCTGCGATCGCAGATTTAAAAGAATTTACAGGACGGGACAAGGATGAAGATCGAGCGAGAAGCTGGGTTAACAAGGCCAAGTCGGCAATCTTACGCGACCAAGCTCCGGACGATGAAAAATGCCTAGTATTTGGTGATCTATTCACGAGGCCGGCACGAAATTGGTATAGCCAGTTAAGTCGATCCACTCGGAACTCTTGGAAGTCGTTGTTGGAAACCTTCATGATCCAGTATTGTGGATATGGTATGTCTGTCGGGAGACAATACTATCATGCGAAGAAGCGATCCGATGAAACGCCATTGGAATATTTGTATCGGCTGAATGTAGCCGCGATCCGAGCAAAAAATCCCATTCGGGAGGGATCGCCCTCAATTTGCCGAGAGCATGTGGAACATTTCATTGGTATACTTGATGATCGCAATCTTGCTAAGCAGTTGACGTTGTTACGCCTTGGAGACGCCGATGATATGGAAGAAACTCTGCGAACATATCAACGCATGGAGGGAAGACAGTATCCGAGTGCAATGGGGTCACAGCAAATTTCGTCAGCGATCTGCGTCGGCCTCCACTCCGGCACCCTCGAAACCAACTCGTGCCGTGAGAGCGATTCGTCTGGAGGGCAGTAGCAGTGAGTCAGACTCGGATATTAGTGGATCAGACGCCGAAACAGATCGACGCAACCTATTTGTGGCCACAGTACCAGATCGCGTGAAGAAATATAGTGATCAACGCGCGAGATCGGACAATTTGGATCAAGATCGCGGTCCAGATCGCGTGGTGAATCAGAAGGCTTGTACCCATTGTGGGTCGAAGAAACACGATGATCGTGGATGCTGGAAGAGACTAACGTGTCAAAAGTGTGGTCGTAAGGGACATCCTTCGGACAAGTGTTTTTACACCTGTGGTGCCTGCGGAGATATCCATGAGCATGGAAAATGTCGAATGGAAGAATTCTACAACATGATACGCAAGTGGTATGTCCCAACCAAGCATGCTGGAATGCTTCCGCCGAAGGCTGAAGAAATGTTAAACTAGGACGCTCGCCAGGTTGGAATCTGGTACGAGCCAAGCGTTCTAGGCTCTGCATTTATGCATTTGTGGAAAGAAGATCGACAGATCAGGGCGTTAACACTCGAATCGACCCTACTAATACATGTGAAGATTCAAAATTTCTGCGTTCAATATCAAGCGTCGTAAGAGTTGATGAATATGCCCGATCGCCTGCGAAAATGGAGCTAGACTTAGCACCAGGATGAATCACGGGGATATTGGAAATATCATACCCCAGTAAAATGGTTCAAGCAAGCCAAGGCAACGGGCAAGATCAACAATGAAAAGGCGATTATGTTATTTGATTCTGGAGCCGAAGTCTCAATCGTCGACACCACCTTTGCTCGTAAGGTAGGATGTGTCATTGACGAGAGTCAGAAGCAAGAATGCGTTGGGATTGGTGAGAACATATACATGACGGACGGTCGTACAAGAATCAAGATCACGCTGAATGGAT